ATAAAATTCAGCACCGCCAATGCTGCAATGCCTATAACTTGAGATAAAAGGCATATATAGTGTATAGTTAATATTCATAACTGATGACACTGAAACATTTCAACATTCTTCGAGTTCATTATCATCCCAAATTAAAGAGTTTTCGGCCTTAACCTGTTTGATTTTAATAGCTTTGGAGGGCAGGAAAAAAGAGTTTATTCCACTCAATAAAGCACAATTCTGCTGCAGCAACTCAATCAAGTAACAAGAAAAAAGAGGAAAATCAAACGCAACGCAAATATAGTACCAGTGCATTTCTTAATAAGCGGACGAAAATAATACATAAAGTGAAGCTCACGTTCCTCACCAGAAAATAGGGGCATAGAAAGAGTACAAGTGGTGCAACAAATTAAAGTCACAACTGAAACCGCAAGCCGCAGTTTGTGCTTCGTCAAAAGCATCCAGAGAAGCCCCCATGTAATGACGGTAGGCGGCTGGGCTTTCTCCGGCGGGGCATCCGGCCCATCTATCTTAGGGTCGCACTCACTGATAGTGGGGTCGGATGCGGGTCCGGTCACATAGGCACGTGGGGTTGTAATTGTCTTGGACAAAGTTCTGCTTCGCAGGGAGAGAGAAGAAGAGGGAAGATGGGGTAGTTGGAGAAGAACGGGAGGGAGAGAAGAAAGTGTTGGTGTGAGAGAGTAGAAGCGAATGGGAGAAGGAGAGTGGAGAGCCGAAGAGCCCATAATGCTGAACTGCTCCAATGGAGGATGTTGCAGCCAGAAGCTAAATAAATATCGGAACAAAGCCCCCCTTCTGACCGCAGTCTCATAGTCGTTTCCGAGAATTCCGGTTCGTGCGGTTATTGCTGGGAAAATCTCATTGCCAAAATCTGAAAGAAAATACCTTTTAAATCTCAAATTAAAAATTATTATAAAAATATATTATCATTTATTTTTTTAAATATAGTCAATTTTTATTAAAATATAATAAATTTAAAACTTTGAAATTTTAATAAAGGATTATAATTTGCAGCCTTCATCCTTAATATTTTCAATATTTACCTTTTATATTTTAACAGCTTATTTTTAGCATTTTAAAAATAATTTTATCAAAATTATGAGAGTATGCCTTTTAATAGCTCAAATAATAAAATAAAAAACATAAATGGACATCTATCCTTGTTTCATTCATCCTTATAATGACCGCCTCTCCTTTCTTTTATGCTACCAAATCAATATACAGAGATATATATATATATATATATTTGCAACAAAATATATATAGTATTAACTTTTTTTCATTATCCATTTTAGTTGTATAAATTTCTCCATTTTATTTATTATCTTTTTATTAAAAAATTAGCCTCCCACCTTCCCGCTCAATCGCTCATGAGCTATGCCTTCTTTCTTCCGTTCCTTCCTCTCTGTCTCACAAGTCACGCCTTCTATCTTCTTTCTTTTTTTTCTTCTTCTTTTTTTCTTTTTAAATAATCTCTGCGCGCTACTCTCACTCCTACACGTAGTGACTGCATTACTCATGCCACATTTCTTGAAGAGTCAATTTTAAGAAGTAATTTATCAGGTCATCTATAATAAAGTAATTTCTAGATTCAGCTAATTTTTAATTTTAATAAAAAAATATTTTGATTTGTACTCTGATGCTTATTATAATTCATTGGTAACTCATTATCACATATGAATGAATATATATTAAATTGATAGAGTTTTTCAAATGAAAAACATTAATTAGGTGAAGTTTCTTATATACATTTGTTAAGCTTTTCAATGACACATGACCATGTATCTTGTATTTTTCATATAGGTATATAACTAAATAATAATATTATAAAAATAGAATACATGGTCATATATGATTAGAAAACTTAATATAATGGATATAACGAATTTCATGTAAATATTTTCCTTTCCAAATTTATTGTTATTAAATTTTCTTTTTCTCAGTCTACATTTATAAATTATTATTACCTCTCTCTCCTCTTTTTCTCTTTTTTATGAGACTTAAATAAGGGTCGAATTGGAAAACAATCATTAAATACCCTACAAATGGCTTATAATAAGATTTGAAGTGGTATATGCATATAATAAAATGAGAGAATTGCTATAAAGTCCTAGAGAAAGAATATAATTACTTTAAAAGTCTGAATGATAATAGAGCAGTGACAAGTTATAGGGTAAAATATGACAACTGTTTACTTGTTATTGAAACTTTTAGGTAGTTATTTTCTTTCTTTGAAAATAATAATTCCCCCAAATAAAATCAAATTAGAAATTAAGACTAAAGAATTTGGGAATTTTGGAGAATTTAGAGAGCTTAATACACCCAGTGACTATCCTAAGAAATTAATTTGATCTAGATACCTAAGACTCTGGCTCTCTGCTTAAGACTAATCCGACATTGCCCCTACTTCGTCTCTGGCTGTTTGCCACCCCTGTGATTTTGTGAAGCCTTTGGTGCTCCGGCCGTCTGGCGTCTATCTGTTTTGTGAGAGGTGAGTCGGTGATTACTCATCTGTTTTGTGGAATATTCACTCTCTACTGTTCTTTTAGCTGCCACCTTTGATTTCATTAGAACATATAGGGATTACAATGGCCTCTGTATGTATCCGCCTTACCGGCATATGGGATGGAAGTCACTAAGAGACTAGATTCATCTAGGTTGGCTGCTTATTTGGATTTGGTTTTTTCTACTTTGGCTCGAAGTGAACGAGGAATCCGATCCAAGCTAGTTTTTTTTTTAAGTAGAAATATTTCTATCTACTGAAGAGTGAAGACGGGAAGAACCGAGAAATGATACTACTTTCATTTTTTTGTTCAATATCATGAATTCATGATCCCCTGTACTGCACATATGTCTAAAACCAAAATTCCTATCCGGTCAGAAAATGTAAATTAAAAGGAAGGGAGATTGATTATAGATAGGAGTTATCTATTCATTATAAATTGTCCTCTTTCTTATATAATTTGTCATTCTGTTGTAACTTGTTTATTTATTTAATTAGATGTCTTCTCATGGTGAAACAATGGGTGATGCTCACGCTGGGGATGATGGTGCTACTCAAACAACAAAGCCTTCAATGCCTGTAACAAGTGGAACTGTAAAAAGAAAAAGCATAAAGCCATGATCAAAAGTTTGGGAGCATTTCACCAAATTTGTGAATGAAAGAGGTGAAATTAGAGGTAAGTGTAATTATTGTGGAAATGATCTTGCATGTGATCCAAAAGCTAATGGAACCACTGCATTGAACAATCATATGAATTCTTGTAAATTGAAGCCCCCTCCTAAAGAACTTGCACAATCTCTTTTGAACTCTAATATAGAAGATGAAAAAATAGGTCTTGCAAATTGGAAATTTGATCAAGATGCTATTAGAAAAGCTTTGTCATGCATGATAATTACTGATAAATTACCTTTCAAGTTTGTTGATAGGAGTGGGTTTAGGCAATTTATGTCTATTGCTCAACCAAAATTTAAAATTCCATCAAGATGGACTGTTGCTCGTGACTGTTTTAGGATTTATATTGAGAAAAAAGTTAAATTTAAAGACTATTTGTTGTATAAAAGGCAAAGGGTCTACCTCACCACTGACACTTGAACTTCCATTTAAAGAATTAATTACATGTGCATTACTGCTCATTTCATAGATGATGCATGGACATTGAGAAAGAGGATTTTGAATTTCATTCCAATTTCTAGTCATAAAGGAAAAGATATTGGAATAGAAATGAAAAAATGTCTACTTGAATGGGGAATTGAAAGGGTGTTCACAATTACTGTGGACATTGCCAGTTCTAATGATGTCATGGTTCAATATTTAGAGGAAAAATTATGAACTAGAGTCATTCAATTATGAAATATCAATTCTTACATATGAGATGTGTTGCACACAATTAATTTGATTGTTACTAATGGGTTGAGGGAAATAGGAAGCTCAGTGAAAAAAGTTAGAGAAGTTGTCCGCTTTATTAGGCAATCACCCCTTCGAATGAGAAAGTTCAAAGAGAGTTGTGAGGATGAAAAGATTCAAAGTAAACAGATTTTATGCTTAGATGTCCCAACTAGGTGGAACTCTTCCTATTTGATGTTAGAGACTGCTCAAAAATTTAAGGCAGCATTTAAAAGATTTGAGGATAAAGATCTTTATTTTCAATTTGATCTTGAAGATGGAGAGGGGGTGCCTGAGTCTAAAGATTGGAAGAATGTTAGGAGGATGATCATGATGTTAGGTCATTTTTATGAGCTTACTGTGCAGATTTCTGGCTCTTTATTTGTAACATCTAATGCTTTTTTTGGGTGAAATTTATAAGCTATATCGTTTTTTGGATGAATGGACAAAATGTGATGTCTGGGAATTGGCTTCCATGGCAAATAGAATGAAAGAGAAATTTGATAAGTATTGGGGAGATCCTATGAAGATGAACCAACTTCTTTATATTGCTGCTATTCTTGATCCTCGATATAAATTAGATTGGGTGCAATTTGCCTTGTGTAAAATGCATACAAGTGCAATTGGTACAAGTTTGGGGATGCATATTAAAGAACTTTTGATTTTTTTATATAATAAATACAAACACATTTTTCCCTCTCAACCCAATCTGAAAGGGAGCCAGTGCATACCACACAAGGGGATTGTCATGAAGAGGATGACCCTGCTGTAAAAGTGAGAAAATTGTTTGTTATTGAGGAATAAGAGTTCATGAATGAGCGTCTTGGTGGAAGAACTAGCAGAACTGAGGTTGATAGATATTTGAATGAAGAAATTGAGGTTAATAAAGAAGACTTTGATATTTTAGGTTCGTGGAAGCTAAATGGTCCTAAATTTCCTATTCTCTCTCTATTGGCTAGAGATGTTTTGGCTATCTCAATTTCCACAATTACATTAGAGTCTACATTTAGCACTAGAGGACGAGTTCTAGATTCATTTAGGAGTTCTTTAACTCCTAAAGCTGTGCAATCTTTAATTGGTGCTCAAGATTGGCTTAGACTCTCAATTCAATATATTGTAGAAGAAGGGAATGATAATATTCAAAAGATAGAACTTGGTAATATTTTACTTTTACTTCATAACATTATATTGTAATGCTTGATTTATTTATATCATATATCATATGAATTCTTTTTTTTTTTTGTGTAGATTTGCAAAAAATTGCATTGGAAGCAACTGTTGATATATTGTAGATGCCAGGAAGAAAATACTTGAGTAAACAAATCTTGTGCTTAACTTGTTCTTTTTTTAGCTCTAAAATTGTGCACTCTCTAATTTTCTTTTTTTTTTGTTTAATTGTAGTTGTTGATGACTTAGTATTGGTGGCAAGTTACATGCAAGGAATTTGGGCACAAGGATTGGCTAGAATTTGTTGTAATTTTAAATTTCACATATTATGTTGTTGGTAGTTGATTGGTTTGTTTGGATCTTAATTGTGTTTGGATTTGTATTTGTTATTAGCTTGTATGCTTCTTTGGATTAATGTTTGAAAGAGGTTAATTATTATTTATTTTATTTTATGATATGTAAGTAACATGCATAAAATCGGAAATGGGGGACTTGGCATTTGTGAGATGCAATTCGGTAGTGGTGTATGAGGAGCAATGAAAAAAGATGTGTGGTTCTTTTTTTCAAATTCATTAGAAGAGCATACGTGTGGTTCTTTTTTCAAATTTCCTCTTCAGTGGCCCACTACAATAATGGGTAGAGACAAATATTTTAATGGGCTATGCAAAAACATAAAGGAAAGACATTTTTTTAATGGGATTCACAAAAAAAAAAGATCTTAATGGGCCCAGCTCAGTTGGGCCATAATAGGCATACTATTAAAAGGGCCCAATAATCGAATTAGGCCCCTAACCGAACCGAAATATTTTCGGTTATTTCGGTTCAGTTTCGGTTCGGTGTCAAAATTATGCTATGTTTGGTTATTCGGTTATTTCGGTTATCTATACTAACCAAATCGAATAACCAATTGCTCAGGCAAACCTAAGAGATAAAGATTTAAAAGAAGAATTTGGCAGGTCTTGGTATTTGTCCTCTTCGGAGTTAACTCCCACAATGCCCATTTATTTGGTTTTGGCTAGATGCTCTACTTATGCCATTGGAAGCTTGGTATTGCATCTTTTTACTCATTATTCCCATGAAGGTTTCATTCATTATGCTTAAGATAAGTAAGTGGGCCCCTCATTCATAATTTAGTTTTCTGCAACTTTCATGGTGGACAGCGGGAGGCTTCCTGCTCATCTTATACTTTCAAGCCATTCCATGTTAACTACATGCCGTCGACCGGCTCTGTGGTGCTTACAAAAGCTAATCTGCATTGTGCTCTTCTCTTCATCCTATGGATTCAATCTAGTGGGAGATGCGTGTATTAATATGTTGATATTTGATGTTTTGTAGGGCCCATGGTATTTTGGTGTTGCTCTAAAGTGATGTTAGAGTGAATCAAGAGCAATTTTTATGTAATACATTAATGAATGTTTATGTGTAAGATTTTCATATGCTTTCATTGAGAATTTTAAAGTAATTCTTTTGTAATTGTTTATGGTAAATATGCTTTCATATGTGTGTGTGTGTGCACGCGTGCCTGTGAACTGTGTTTAAAATACTATTGCAAGACTGATTTCACTGTTCATATTTTTAATAGGGTTTAAATTTTGAACATGGTCCTTATAGGATCCTTGTTATATGCTTAGTTTTGATTTAAGTTCTTCGGTCACTAACTCTGTTAATTTATGCTGACGTGGCATCTTTCTCAACTTCTCTCTTCCCTCCTCTACCCAGTCTGCTTTATACGAGTAGTGTTCTCTCTCTCCTTCTCCCACTACAAAAAAACATTTATTTTGTAGCAATTAAAACATGACTTTTTCTAGCGATTATAACCACTGCAAATAACATTTGCAGTGGTTACACAAACCGCTAGAAAATCAAGTGATAGAAAGGATTTCTAGCAGTTACATGAACCATTACACAGTATGGTCAAAACGCCAGAAAATTTTTAGCTGTTAAAATAATAGCTAGAAAAAACAAGAAGCGGAACGGGAATGATATGAAATTTTCTAGCGGTTATGAACCGCTAGAAATCTCTGACAAATTTATAGTGGTTATTTAACCGCTAGAAAATTCTGAGCGAAATTTCATTTTGCCGGGAAACAAAAATTTTCATTTTGTCGCCAAAATTTTCTAGCTGTTAATAACCGCTAGAAAATTCAAAGGATATCAAATTTTGCCGGGTTCGAAATTTTGGAATTAACGCCAAAAAATTTCTAGCAGTTATGAACCGCTAGAAATGTGGGGGATATTTAAATTTTACAAAATTTGTCTCTAATAAGTTTATTCCAGGCTAAAAAAATAAATTGAGATGTTTGATTATTAAAAAGTATAATATTATAAATTTAAAAACCATTAAGTAGATTATATTAGAGAATTTTTGTTAATATGTATAATTACTAATGTATTACATGTTATACATTTGAATTTTGTAATAAATAATAAGTAATTCGGTTATGATTGTGTCAAATGAAGTGAATTAAATTTAATAAGATAGTTGAATTAAAGATGATATAGTTTATAATATTGAACATAAACTGTTATGTTGAGAAGTGCCTGAATCAGTTGAGGAAGATATGACAAATGTGAAGAAGAAAAATCTGAAAGAAAAAGAAAAATAAATATGTTAGTAAATTATAAATAAAAACAAATAAAAGATATTAATACTTATAAAATAAAAATCACCTTAACATATAATAAAGAGAGAAAAAACTACCATATCAAAGAGAAAGAAAAAAAAGAGAGAATTATAAAGAAAAATGGGAGAGGAAGAAAAAGAGATGGGGTAAATAAATGAAGAGGTGATGTGGTATTTATAGAGATCAGCGAGACATTTGTAACGGTTTTTTTGCAACGTTTTGATTCATTTTGTAGCGGCCTTGCATTTTCTAGCATATGATAAAACTGCTAGTATTTGTAGAAGGTTTCACAATTTGTATCGGTTATGTAACCGCTACAAATTGTAATTTTTTACTTTTTAAAAAATTAGACTAATTTTAATTTATACATATTTATTTATGAAAGGTAAATTTTTTGAATGATAAAATTTTTTGAAACTGCTATTCTTGGTCATCATCCTGCCTGAAAAGAGATATACATTCTTTGCAACCGCGGTTTCAAAGGAAAATATCTAAAGAAATAATGTATTAAAAATTTCAAATATCAAATATTTAAATACTGAACAAGTAACACATTATAATCAATTGTAGTGAGAATTTCAAATATCGAATATTTAGAGACGGAACAAGCAACACATGATAATTAATTGTATTGAGAATTTCAAATATCGAATATTTAGAGATGGAACAAGTAACACATTATAATAAATTGTACCTGAGAATTTTGGCTGGTTTCTTCTTCTGCTTTTTCCCCTTCCATACCGATTTATAGCGAGACGTCTTACATCTCGTACAAATCTCATTGTTTGCGTCATCTCCTCAATACAACATACAGTCGTTTGGGCATGCATCTATCTTCTTGTAGTTCAAGCTAAACTTGTTAATAATCTTCTTTGCTTCATAAAAAGACGGAGGAAATTTAGCCTGAGGGAAAGCATCTCCTAGTAATTCCAACAGCATGGACACCGCCTTGCCAGTCATACCACACAAGCATTTGATATGATACAACCTCACCAAGAATAACAACTTAGAATACTTTGTGTACCAGGAGTAAAGAGGCTTGTTAGCTTCGCTCATAAGGTCAAAAAATTCCCGAGCAGTTTCGTTTCTAAGAAACTCCGGTTGAGGCCCATCTACTTCATTTTCATTGGGATCCTCACTTTCGTGAATGCCAAAAGCATCACGCACGGCATCGTTCACGGCATCGGCTTCATCCACTCGAACTCCCATCTGTTAAACTACTAGAACTGACTCAATAACCATATCTGGTCGTTCCCCATGTAGTTGCCAAAATACATACTTTCGCAGGAAGAGCTTAAAGATCAAATGTTCTCTAACAATATCTCTAGGATGCCACTTCTTGAAATTACATTTAGGATATGGACACTGAATCTTACCATTTATGGCGGCATTGACGAAAGCAAAATCCAAGAAATAGTTTAGACCAGGCAAGTATTGCGGAGTTGATCAGTGCAAGTTGATCCACGACCTATCCATCACTAGTGTTGCTCAAATTTCGTAAACATATGACATAGGAAGCTTAAAGAGAAGTTAAAATGAATTTCAGATGGAGTTCTTCAGCTTATAAAGGAGGCTGCCAATGGTTACATAACGGTCAAATTTTTGTAGTGATTCTAAACCGCTCGAAATTTCTAGCGGTTTTAACAGCTAGAAATTTGCATTCAGGAGCATTTTATAGCGGTTAATATTTTCTAGCGGTTTTGAACCGCTAGAAGTTTCGAGCTGTGACAACGGTTATATATTTTCTAGCATTTATAAACCGCTAGAACTTTCAAGGTAGGACGAAATTTGAATTTCCGATGAATGTTCTAGTGGTTAATTAATAGTTAGAAATTTTTTATTTTCTAGCGGTTTACAACCGCTAGGATTTTTGAGGGAGGAGGGAAATTTGAATTTGTCGTGAGGAGGAAATTTTGAATTTTCTAGCGGTTAATTAACCACTAGAAATTGTTCACATTTTTGTTTTGGAGTGGTTTATAACAGCTGCAAAATATTCGTTAGAATAATTAATATTTATTATATTAACTTTTACAAAATATTAAAATAATAAATAGGTACTAAAAGGTATCAATAATATATGTATGCATAAAATTTAAAAAATTCCATGATATGTTAAATATTAAAAAACATGTTCCAAGAATGAATTTTAATGTTAAAAGAATATATGTTTAGTATGTTTTATATAGTGCAATATATTAAGTAATACTTGATATAAATAAAATTATAGAAATAAATAATAAAAATAAACAAATAAACATAAAATTTAAATAAATATCTACATAAAACATAAGATAATAAAATCCAAATCCAAATAAAATCTTACACAAGAAAAACAGGGAAAATCAAGAATGAGGGGCAGAAGTAGCATCATCGTGATCGTCGGCCGCTAGATCCTCCTGCTGGTTCTGCTAGGGATGGGCAGGCAGCTGATTGTGCTGGGGCTGGACTGGCTGCTGGTCATGCAGGGGTGGGACTGGTGGTAGCCGTACGTCAGGGATCTCAAGAATTGGGATGTTTGGAGCGATAGTGATCACCACATCACGCATGGCCACAACAACTGTCTTCAACTGGTCAAGCTGCAACTGGAACTGACGATCACGCTTCTCCATCCTGGCCTCCATCT